TGCTGAATTGAGATGTTGGAGTTATATTAAACACAAGGTCTATTTAAATATCTTCACTTGGTAATAAACCATACTTGCTGAAGCTTATTGAATGCACACATGTATGTACAAATTAGCGTATGTAAATCTCTACGCAGCATTAGTATTAGGTGTTCAGACATGATGACAACATGAATTACACACCAGAAATAAGATTAAAAATGTAAAATCACACAAAATATATGACCAAAAAAAAAAGTTGTTGTTTTCTTATTGGTAATAACTGCCTGGTCCCTATCTGTTTAGTGAAGAAAAAAATTGACTACAAAAATAACAGAAAAAGCACTATATAAAAATGAGTAACATACTAAATTCCATTATATTTTTCTATTCTTTTTCAATTTACTTTAACAATGAAATAGAAAACTTTTACATAAGGTAAAATCTAAGATAACTTGTTAAGCTCAGACCACTGAAAGAATTGCTTGTGTGATTTACTTCACATATAGTGATGTTGAAATGGATGGAAATTAATGGAAGCTGTGAAGTTATGTTCCTCTCTCTACACCCATGAAACAGCATATTACTTTCTTCTCATCTGTTGCTGGCTCCTCTGCCTCAGTGTTCCTTTCTCAGTCCCAAAATCTGACACTTTCGATCAGCCCCCCAACACTCAGAATGACCTGCTTCTGTGGTTTTCTAACATCATTCCCATAGTCCCCTACACCTTTAATACTGGTCACCCCAAAGGCTCTGTATCTTTTTGCTCAAGTCCTATAATTTAAACAAGACATAAAAACTGTAACAATATTTCTTAATATACCATTTAAAGCTTTTTTCCTGTACACTGCTACATACTCTTTGTACAGTACCTCACATTTGCCACTGGATCATGTGTAAGCTCAAGCACAGGTAGAAAGAAGTATTTACAGAAGAATGATTTTGAAAACAGTTCCATTATGAATTCACAAGTATCTAAAAAACGAAGTCTGTTCCAATAGCTTTTTCCTTGGCCCAGTTCTGAAAAATAACAATCCACAGACATTATCTATTAAGTTTTCAATGTCAGCTAGAAAACATTTCAAAGGTTAACCTTTGACTCAAAGATGATAATCACACTCATCAAAAGGCACAGGTTCTCAGCCTATCTCAATTCTTTCTTTCAGTGAAAACCTAACCTTCTGAATTCAATAGCTATTTCTGTCACTGAGCATTTTTTTTTCAGAAATTCAACCTTTCCCTTTAACTATCTGAAAAAGCAAACATAGCAAGTGAACTAGCTACTGTGTTGAACAAAGCCCTGTATGCCTTTCCAACCATGTCACAGGTGTATCAAAATTACTGTGTAAATGTTAAGGATTGCTAATGGGAACTATTGAAACTTCTAACCTATCTTTAAAATACATAGCATAGACCAGAAAGCCAACTTACATGACTAACTCATTCATAAATTAATTTCTGAGAAGATTTATTCAGCACTTGTTATGCTGAAGCCTCTAGAGAATTTTACTTCTATAAAGGAACTCCACTTTGTATATTGGAGCACCTACAGCTAAGCAATTTTGGATTCAAGAAGTAAGGTTGGAGGGGTCTTGGCATATTATCAATTTCCCACATTGCCTCGTCCCAATTCCTTTGCATAAGCTTCAGATATATTCCTCGCATACGCACAATATGCTTTGCCTGCCGATAATATGAGCAACTGAATGTCTTCTAAGTGTAATCCCACCAATGATGGCAGGAAGTTACACTGAATAAATATAACCATAAATAGATCTTCACTCAAAGCTAACTTGTCTCTCTAAGTCATCAAGGAAAAATTATCTTACGTTCAATCAGCTTCTGAATAACCTCATGCCTCTGTTCTTGTTTGCGATTATAACGTAAATAAACGCAGAGAGTTCGAGCAGCTGCTTTTTGGACTGGCAGGACATTCTTGAAAGAAATAAAGGGAATACAATTAAACATACCTGAAGGAATATGACTAAAAACATATAAAAATTCGAGAAGTAGAAAAAATAGCTAAAAATTAGCCTAATTTTATAAATTTTGTAATAATTGGCACAATGTAAGGGAGAAGAAGGAAGTTTGGCCAATTCATGAGACACCTACTTTATTCCTTCTGCCTAACTTGTTTATTCAACTGTTTCACAAACACCTTAAAGTATTCCATGTTTGGAAAGCACCTTCTACATTGCAGGTGTTAGAAAATAAAATTTACAACATCTGCTCTTACAGCAGACAGTTTTACTCTTGAATTAATTCAATAAAATTTCAGACTAGTAGCTCTAAGTGATCATTCATTTTCAGAATAAAGTGTTCTTTCATACAGATTGGAACACAATGATGTGAAGTATTGTATGGAATCAGGAAAAAGAAGGCATATCTCAGAGGAAAAAGTTTTGATTTACCTAGAAACAAACTGAAAATGAGCACAAGGAAAGGAAAGAAGTCTTGAGTGGGAGGAAAAACATGACAATCTGCCAATCCAAATTTTGCACCTCAAATGGGGGGGGATTTCTCAGAGCAATTTCTCAGTCTTATATAAAAAAAAAAATCACAGTCTGATATACCCTATGCAATGCGAAGTAGTACTTTAAGATTTTTATATATATATATAAGTATCACATATAGCAAATATCTGGTGGTCATTGTTCTAAATAACACAAACAAAAATGGGAGAGAGACAGGGAGGCTCACATTTGTCAAAATAATTGTCAACATTCTGTGAAGAAAACGGTAGTAAATCTGATCACTTGATATGATATGAGGGAGACATGCATATTTTTGTAGTAACTTCTCGTGAGTTCTCCATTTTAAAGAAGTTGCTGCTCTCTGTTCTGCTGTTGTTAATGCAGGAATCAAGTCAGGAATAGACAATAACTAGAAATAAAAATATAAACGTTAAAATAATTTTACATCTTCTAGCTGTATGTCATGTTACTACACTCAAAAAGGACATCACAACACTGTAAAAAGGGAAGACGTTTTAAGGGGTTAATTAATTCCTCTTCTCAGACAGGATTAGCTACACTGTGACCATTTCCAATAGATATTAGTCTAACTTGCTCTTTAAAAAAAATTAACGATCTGGTTTAAACAATCTCCCTTAAGCAGTAAATGCCACTTAACTCGTCAAAAAGCTATTCCAGTATCTAACTAAATATATTTTCATTTCCAGCCCCTGCTCCTGACAAAAAACAACTAATCATTGTTCTCTTTGTAATACTCTTGTACAGATATAAAGACCATTACGACAACCTTCTTTGGTCTTCTCTTTCTCAAACCAAATAAATCCCATTTTCCTTCTAACCTCAATCTTTGCAGCTATTCTTTCAGCTCCCTAATTAATTTTAGTAGGAATTATACACCTTTTCTCAGGAGGGAAAGACTTCATAGTAGCCAAGCTAAATTCTCCTTAGCACTAAGCAAAATCAAACAGACTGCCACACTTGACATGGCACTCGTTACATATTATATACATTTATAGCTGTAAACATCTGACAAATTCACATTTTAAATTACACTCTCAGCTTTTGTCCATACAAGAAAATAAATTTATTAAGTTCTTATATGGTTGGAATAGCTCGATTTCTCTTAGGAAGAATGCTCAAAACAGCATCTTGAAGCAGGAGATGATCTTTCATGTTCCATTTTGCAGGTGAGGAGTCACTGAATAAACCATCATCCAGAGCCACATACAATTAAAGTAGCACAGCTGGGAGCTGAATACAGATCTCCTAAAACCTAATTCAGTGCCTTTACTTCAGGAAATAGGCTTCCTTCTAACAGAAACTGTGTCTGAAAATGACAACTATGGGCAGTTGCCTCATCAATATAAAACCAGAGTAATTACATATTAGCTATCACTCCTTTAGTATGAAACCAATGATTGTATTACAAAATTTGACCTATTTCAGCAAATCTGTAGTTAATTAGAAAAAGTGCATGGATAAACTGTTCATTTTTATATTAAGTCTAATCTTTCAAACCCTTTTTTTTTTTTTAAGTTTATAAAGTCAACAATCAAAAAAAAAAAAAAATCAGAGAAACTACATCTCTCCAAAGCAGAAACTAATAATGAAAGACTTTTCATAAAATATATGTCTGAACAACTTTGCTACTACCTTCATTTAGAAAGCAAATTTAAAAAAACATACCCACCTTGCTTTCCGATCCACTGTTTTCTCCTCCATTAGTCATTAGTTCAAGGATTTCAGGAAGGTGACCTACCAGGGCATCTAATACCTATTTAAAGAAAGGCTGCATGAATGAGGTCTGTAAATTAATTTGACTCAATTTTTATGTCTCACCAACGTATCTCTGCTGACATCTCATATGTTACTGTTTTCTCACATCCACGTTAAAAAAAAAAACCCACAACATATTTCCATTGATGAGGACTGTGATTTTAAATTGATGTTTTAATGTAGTAAGTAACATAAGCATTACCAGTTTCAGTTTAAGAAAACAAACTATAGTTTTGATTTATGTGAATACCATAGTTAATGCTTTCTAAACTAATCATAGCATTCAGTATTTTAAAATGAACATTCATTCTTAAGAAAGATCTGTATTTCATAGACAGTTAAGTAAGAGCCTCAACAAACACAAAGAAACATTTTTTTAGTATTTGTCAGCTGAATCTTAAAAGTGACTTTTCCTGCTTTAGGAAAAACTGCAGTTGATAAAGTAAAATAGAATATATAGTCTATATTAATAGAATAAACCTACTTTCAAATGTTGTAATACTTGAAACTAGACTAGAAAAGTACATAAATATTTTTGGCACCAGTTCTGACTGAGGTGGTATATAAGATAAAGCATCAAATAGTTTTTATTATCTAGATAACTGTATAGGGATCAAACCAAGGAATTTTTCAAAATCACCAGCTGCTTCTGAATCTCAACTTTCACGTGTTCAACTTGAAAAATCTTTTAGGATGAGTAAGAATTTCATAAACAGTAAGTGTTCTATGAACACTTTTCATTTCCTTGAAAATGTCTAACAAAGGGTACCAAAACAAAAAGGAGCACCTGAAAGTAAAACTCATTTTTCCATGCCATATCCAAAGACACATAGAAAACAAAAAGGATGAGCTATTGGAATAACTGGTATCACAGGAAATGGTGATTTTGTCTCAAATCTAAATATTTGCCTTTTTTCCAAACCAAAAAAGTCTTGCTATATTATCTGTAATATAGTTAAGTGATTCATGTTTTATGCTGATTGAAATGGAGGTACACTAAACTAAACTTTCCCATAAACACACTCACAGATTCTGTACCAGATCTTGGACTGAAACTCTTGATCTTTGAACCATACACAACTTATTCATCTCCTCTTCAATTGGAGAAATGAAAATAAAACAAAGCAAAAACCTTGAATGCTATCAATGATTATTTTAATATAGTATCAAAACCAAATCTTTCCACATAATTTGTAAGGTAATAAATAATATAGCAATTAAAACAATTTAGAATGAATATTTTTAAAAGCTAATAAATTCAGAGTGGGTTTACTAAATTCAAACACCTTCCTATTTTCCTCCTTTTTATTCACAGAAGGGTGGCATCTTTATGAAGCATCTGTGAAACAGCAGTAAAAGCTGTTGACAATTTCAAACAACTACTGTACTGTCTTATTGTAGAGTTATTAAACATCAAGATAATCTGCCTCAATGTAACAAGCAAAAGAAAGTTCCAATAAAAGTATATTACCTCCAGTGACTCATCTTGTAATAGTGTAACCAGTTCTTTATGTATTGTATACACACCAGAATTTAAAAGCTTAGCAACCTAAAAAATGACAATAACATAGCAAGGTGAAACATTCTTTAGCTCCACGGCACTACAAAAACTCTAGTACATATGCTTCCTTTACAGCAGGCATGAAGAAGGGATGCAGACCAATTGTTTAATATCAGCCTTCTAACGTTGTGTACTTTCCCACTGATTACATGAAAAATATGCTTATATAAAGAATATGAGTCAAGAAACAGGCCTGTTACCTAACTAGGAAAAATGCTTTTAGAATTAACTCTTCTTCACATTTACCAAAAATTTTTAAGACTGCACTGCAAGGTTAGAAAAATTTGTTCTGGAATACTCAAATGTTGTGTTTCATGCTCCTTAGGAGAGTTAACAGTCAGTCTGCTATTTAATTTTAAAGAGATAAAATATAAAAATTGGCTTAGTCTGTGCTGGATTTTAAGTTTCCCCAGCCTTTCCATCTGAAGTTTTCACTCCGTACTTCTTTGGGGCTTTTCTACTGTGATTCATAAGTCACATATACATTTATAAAAATACCAGCATCTCCACACTGTTAAAAAGGTTTTATAGCAAATATGAGAAAAACTCGAGGAATGAGATCTTTGCCATACTGAACAGTGAGATGATAGTTTTTAATGTTTTTCTTTGTTTATATGAGTCAAGTGAAATTAAGAGCTTACTTCCAATCAAGATGAAGCTTTAAGGAAATGGCTAAAGGAGTTTTAAAAAAAAAAAAAATCCACCGAGCAGTGAATGCCATAAATTACTCACTTTTGCATGTCACATGGTTGCCTAGTTATGGTAAAACTGAATCAACGGCCACTAACTGCACGTTCAGACCAAGGTATAACTTTACAGGCTTTTTCTAAATGAGCTAAAAGTCTTTGCTTGTATTCAGGCAGTACCTTAAAAGTGTTATACATCAAACACAAAATACTATATAGAATTAGATGCTAATTTTAACAATGTCAACAATTACCTTGGATTAACATTTGTTAAGACAGGGCACCAATAGGTAACAAGAACTGGAAATCCACCCACCTTTCTTATAATGGTGGAAATAAAGCCACTTTAGCTTCATTTATGTCCCTACTAGTGATTTAAATGCTTTCAGCAAGCAGCTTAACTTACCAATTTCCCCAGCAACAAAATGGGATAAAAGGCTAACTCAGGGACTGAAACACAAGGATTCTCAGTAAAACATTATGAAAACCTTAAAGATCTCCCTATATGGGTTAATGCAATCCGGAGAGAGTGTATTTTCATTTCTGGAATTCACCCCATATAGCTAATAATATCTATGCAGTCAAACATTTTTTAACTTTTATGAAAATAATACAGTGGAACTTATGTAAACTGAATGGAATAACAAGAACACATACCCATCCACATCTGAATAAATAAATTTCCAAGTAGTTTCATATTAAATTGAGCATTTAACTTAGATTTGATCCATAAAAATATTCTCCACAGAACGGCAGCATAGTAGCAAACTGTACAGTTCTAAAGAAGGTTTTCAGGACCAGATGTGGCAAGTTCCTTTCTCCCATTTGTCTCATTATTTTCTAATAGCAGTGAAAATCTTCAAATATTGTAATTACTACAATTGCTTGTGTTTGTGGTACTAGACCATTCTAAGTTTCTTCTAGCTTTTGCACCTTTAAAGCTCACCTAGCAGTAGGGTCTTGTAGCCAAATGTCACACAATTTAAATAGACTAATGTGTGTATATGGGTTATATATACAGGTTAGAAGGGACTGAACACCTTTGAGAAACTAAATAATTTCAACAAGTTTTCTTGTCTTTTTACGTTGGTTGAACAGTCACAAAAGTACGCTTAAAGAAGAAAACAGCATAAAGTGAAATCATGTAAGTACTAATAAAGAACCATTGTAGACTTACTTCATAGAAGCTTATGGCCATAGTATATCTGACAGGAACTTCAGGGTCATGACAAAGGCAGAAGAATATAGAATATAGTTCTAAATGGAAGTTCTTTGGATCCACAAAAACAATCATGGCCTGTGGAAAGATAGTCTTTTATTAACTGTATAGCTAAAGGCCCACACTATCAGAGATTATCAGATGAAAACATTGGGTCACGGCCAGCAAGACGCTTGGGAGATAACAGGCAGTGATTTTAAAGAGGAAGTGTGGCATTTTTGATGGCCGTGTCAAAACACAGGCACCAGACAAGTGCTGAAGTTAAGAACTAAATTGGATTTACATATCTTCCAGACATACTGTAGGCTTTTTTTCCTGAAGGCATAGATTAAACCCAAAAAGATATAAAACTTTACTTTTATAAATATTGTTAATGTTTCCATATACTAGTGGAAGCTGCAATTGGAGACTTCAAAAACAAAGAACGTTTTAGCAAGTAGCAAAGCAAACATCCGAATTTCAGCATAATTGTGTGTGTACATACCTTGGTTTTGCTCAAATAAACCAACAGATGTCTACCTACATACATGGTGCTTGTCTTTAAAAGGCAGAATAAAAGTATCTGTCTACTCGCTCTTGGTACAAACATATTTTCTTCAAATATAAATGCAGAATGTCAAAATACAAAGTAGATTTACAGAAACATGAGTGGTAAGTTTAAAGACCTCACATAAACTCAAAAAGACTTTCTGTATTCAGGCAGGAACATGACTAGAACATGAATCTAACCATGCAGATCCAATCTTCAACTCCCCATAATGCCATGACACAGCAAATGCGAAAACCTAGCTTTGAGTGGTTTGAGACTGGGGACGCTGTTTCACAGCCATTTTCTCAAAGTCTTTGTGCTAAGGGTTTGGAGAAAACGTGTAGGAAAGAATGAGACTAGTAACTTCTTAGAACAGCACTCTCTCAGTCAAAACTTGCCAATAATTTTCTGAGGCTCTGCAAACAGGAATCCTTTTGGACAACCTCTACTTTAAGCCATTAACTTGAACTTTCCAAGAGAGAGCTAGAATCTAGCTAACAACATACAATTTGGCAATAACCTCTCTCTCATGCAGTCCCATTTAATGAACTATATGCATGACACAAATTATTTAACCTTAAATGAATGCTACTTACTGGAAAATTATAAGCACAGTTCTTCCTCACTGAAATATACTTCTTCTCCTGTTCCAGAGTTTGAAGTTGTAGTTGATTATCATTATGTCCATTTTCCTGCTGTAAACCCAGCGTGGAAAGCTTCTTATAAAACTCCAAAAACCGTAAGTGCTGTTCAGGAGTAAAAATGCCTTCCAAAAAAAAAAAAGTTTACTTTCCTCATTACAAATGCTATTAATAACGTCCCAGAACAAATCTCATTTACAGATCTATCAAATATGTCGATTTTTATCCCTCCTCCTCACTGCCTTGAGTCTAGCAGAGTATCATCAGTACACATTATACAGAAAAAAGCGATTACAGAAAAAATGACAGCTAACTATAACAGTGAATCTTAATTTCTCTTTACATAATTCTTGAAATACTCAGGACTTTAACTGCAGGACTGTGAATATATTTTTTTGTTCCACTAATACTGGTTTCTTCTTGGTTAAATTTTTAGATCTTTATGGAACTCAGTCACATGAAGACTGCAGACCTGCAGAAAGTTGAAAAATTAGGCCATGCTGCTACAGATAATAGATATGAGAATAAAATTAGAAAACTCAGAACAAACTGGAATGTAACTAGCTTCAAGAACTGCAAGTCATCTTATAAGTTGTGTTGGGTTTGCGTGGCAAGGTTTT